AAAACGTAATCGTAATGTGGTCATTGGGACAGACATCAAGAGTCATATAAAATCAAAACTAATCCTGGATCAGCACAAAGACACAACCTCTAAATAACAGTCCAGGCTCACCATTGGCTCTGGCTTCGCAGACCTTTCTGGTCATGCTGGAATGTTGACTCTTTATCTCCTCCAGCTGGTTCAGAACCTGCTGGTGTTTGGTTTCGGCTTGGTTCTTGGTCTCATGGAGGTCATGCAGCCTGTTCTGCTGTCTGACCAGATGCTCCTGAATCTTGAAGACCTCCACACCTAATTCCTGATTGTGGCTAGCATCATCCTTCGCAACTGCATGCTGATGGAGGAGGAGAGCAGTTAGAAATCACAGAAAAATCAATAATTCTAGACGATAACCGACTTTATACATGCTTTTATGTTGGGTACTAAAATGGCTTTCCTTCATCCAGGACAAAGCCTGGTATAAAAGTACTGGTTCTACTTATTAGTGGTTGCCGGTTGGAACTGGAACTGAAAAAGATTTTATTGTATTTGTAACTTATTTCCAACATTGTAACCCTTTTGGGGACATTTTAAAAATAAATCTGTGACCTTCAAACATTAGTCATTATGTGAACATTATGTGAACCCATTATGTGAACATATTCAGATAATGAGGGGAACTCTTAAAATGTTTTATACAAAGTGCTTTAAATTTCAACTCATTACATATGAAATATACTGTACTATAAATCAATATTCGCTATATATACCATACATGACATTTAATATATTGTGTTTGTCATCATTACCCATTTGAGTGATGAAGGCCTCACACCTTAACCCTGCAACAAGTGTTTTTCTTGGAAAGGTAAACAGTTTGTGGGTGTTGCATCTTTCCTAAACACCTGTCGTACGTAATACAGAAGATGTGAAGTGTTCTGCAGTTGCCATACAGTTCTACAGCACCATCTTCTGGACATTTAAATAGAAAAGTTGCATTTGTTTGTATAGAAACTAGCTTGTTTGCTCCTGCATGTGTGAATCAGTGTATTAACTGAGCAAAGATGGAGAGAGTTTGTGGTCAGAGAAGTGGCCGACCTTTTCCCTCAGTGTCTGGTTAATCCTCTCCAGCTGTTTTCTAAGCTGGATTGTCAGAGCAGCTTGTTGTCTTCTGACCACGGGCTGCCAACAGATTAAATACAGTATCAGTAACGTCCCAGTGGAAGACAAAGATATGTAGTATTAATGCTTCACATCCATCATAATTCAATTTTCTTTCTGATGAGCACTAAGACAAAAATCGATTCATTATTTAGTAAACACTGGTCGTGTAAAGATTAAAGGTGAAGCTACAAACATGCTCAGGATCAAGAATGATCAACTCCTCTTCCTCATCTTCTGGCAGTGGCTCATGATCCTCCATCTCCTCCGATGTGTGTGAACGGTGAGCCATCTGAGCAATATCCTCTTGCACTGAAATACAGTGAAAGGTATCATTTAACCAAAAAATTAATAATCATGTAAAAAGGGTACATATTGCTATAGAATATATAGAAGTAAATCCCACAGAGGATTAATGTGTGACTTACTTAAATTTGTGGCCGCAGGGAGGTTTTCATCCACTACAGTGAGGTCATGGTAACGCTGGGCAGCAGGGCTCTCTGGCTGTGGCAGTGACTGAGCCTGTGAGTCCGGAGACAAACATGAAGCATGAATAGAGCTCCTTAATAGCTGCTGTGATTTAAACATTGAGAACTGTTAGACTGAAGATGTCAAACATGAACCTGCCCACCAAAGGGGCCAAACTGGCTGAGTGAGTGGTTTTGCAAAATGTAAATTTGCAAAGAAGGAGGACACACTTCTTTAAGAATGGATCCTGTCATGAGGGTCCAAACTGCTGATTCCATTTGAGCCATATAACTAACACTACTGCAATATTTTGTGCATCCAACAGTTAAGACTGTGAGTGCAGCAGCACAGCACCTGACCAAACATCCAAACTGCATCAGTGTTCAATGACCTGTTGTTAAAATATCAACAAAGTAAGGAAACAAAACCTCAGCAGATACACATCTCAAACCTCTTTGTAATGTGAGGCAGTCGCTCCACTGTCTTCTTCAGCGTCGTCACTTCCATCCTGCAGGTTGGGATCTGTCTCATTTCGGGGGGAGCTTTCCTCCCTTCCATCATCATCTCCTGGGTTCTGCATTGGACCTAAAACTTCACATGAAGATTTATATTTTCTCCAGGTGACTAATATGTGTATTTTCCCCAAAGGTCAAAGGCTAATGGTGAGAGAGAGGGCTTTTGAGAAATTTTCCGACTTTTTTCTTAGCAATGCTGAAAATATAAGAGCAAATATTTTAACTTGTGGCGCTAATCCCTTTTTTATTAGTCAGCTATTGCCACGTTTGAAGATTCTGAACATGTTTTCTTTTCTCAGATGTCATATGACATGTTTCACTTCTATAACAGATGTCCTGCCTGCCATCTTGGTTTTTGATTTAATAGACTGTGGTGTTCTCTCAATTATAAATGCAAAACTGCCAAACAGTAGTCCAGTCATTCTTAAAGAAACAAAATTTGGAAGTGGATGTCTGGAGTCTTTTGGCTAAACAATATCTATGAAATCTTTTAATCAGGTTTCAGGGTTTTTCCACAGTGTTAAATCTTCTCTCTTGAAACTGAAAAATTATATTCTAGTTGATACCTGTTCAGGTGGTTGTTCAGTTTTAGTTCTGCTGAACTTGAGTGCTGCTTTCGACACCCCATGACTTACACACTCATGACTTACTCTTTGAGTGCTGTGTTGGAGTCAAGTTTTGACTCTTAAATGGTTTAATCTAATATTAAACTCAGAAATTTCTAGTTAGCATTGGATAATACACTTCTGCACCAGCATTATCACATCTACAGGTACACAGGGGTCGATTTTTTTCTATGTCCACGCTCTCTCATGGTCAAATTATTTGTCAAAATAGCATCAGTCTAGATTTTGCAGCCTATTTTACCTTTGAATCGTGGAAATGTTATATAAGACTGCTCAATGAGTTTTGGATATAAAAAATACAGTGTCCTACGGTTTCTTACACTTAAATGAGTGCAAAACAGAGGTCATATTGTTGTGTGTTGCCCTCCCACTAAGGTCCATATAGGTCTGCTTCCCTAACCTATGGAATCAGGGTGGGTCCTTCGTAATTAATAAATAATAATGATCAGAAACAATCATTGTCTCTGTCAGTGCGCCCCAGGGCAGCTGTGGCTACAATGTAGCTTGCCATCACCAGTGTGTGTATGTGTGTGTGTGAATGGGTGGATGACTGAATGTAGTGTAAAGCGCTTTGGGGTCCTTAGGAACTAAGTAAAAGCGCTATACAAATACAGGCCATTTGCCGTTTTTCATTATACACAATGAAATTAAATTAGTAAATACATTGCACTCATTATTGATTTTTACAATTTCATGTGTTGACCAGAACTCACCTTATATATTCGAGTTTTTCTGAGCCTACTTGAAAATGAATAAAATATCAAGTGGAAATCTGAAGATTTCCGGGCTGGGCTTATGGGTAACAAATACCTTCCTTGTATTTAAAATTAGCTATGTTTCTGTATTCTTGCTAGCTTCGCGCTAAGTCCTCAACAATAGAGAGGGTTTGTGAGGATCACAGTATAATAACTGTCAACCTGACTTTGTCGCTTTAATAGTCAAAAGAACAATTTAGAGTTTGCGTACCAATACCATCGTACTATATCGTACCAATGATATAATTTAATTTTGCATTTAGGATACAACTTACCACGGTAGCGTTACGGGTACAGTCGATAAAGGTTACTAGGCAACCGTAAACTTCCGTAGCTGGCGTCTGCGCAGTCTCAGTCAGACATCAGTCGCTGTGGAGTTTTAACACACAGGCAGCACGTAGAATGTACGCGCTTATTTACGACCGCTTACAGAATAAAAGTCATTTCTAGGAGTTACTGACATGTTCAAAGCTAATTTCTTAATGCTGTGGTAACATTTTATCTCCAGCCAACAACTGTGAGAGGGCTGGAGGAGCCTGTAAGAGAGTAGACAAATATTTAGATGCAATTTATGGCCTCATTTTGGGCAGTGATCTTTGTTTTGATAACCACATAAATACGGTTTAAATACTGCCTTCTATCACTTAAAGGTTATATCTAGGACTATAAAATTCCTGTCTCAAACTGACTATGAGATGCATTCATCTCATTCATGGGTTTAAGTTGGTTGCAGCACTCTATTTGAAGGACCAAATCATCAGCACAACATCTCTGGCTTATTCAAAATGCAGCAGGCAGAATCCGTACAGGTAGATGGAAATTTGACCTCATTAACTTAGTTTTGAAGTTACTTCACTGGCTCCCAGTGCTATATATACATTCTTCTATTAGTTCACAAAGCTCTCAATGGTTTGGCCACCCAGTATGTCTCTGACTTGCTGACTGTCAAAAACCCAGACTGGGTCTTTTAACTGTTCTCAGAATCAAATCTCAGTCTGTTGAGGGTGCTTTCAGTTTTCTGGAACAAGCAGCCTGCTGACTTGAGATCAAAAACAGACTCAAAACCTTTTTGTTCACACAGGTCAATAAGTGTTGTTGTTTTGCTTTGTTCTGTCTTTAATGCCTTCAGTTTCCGTACACATTCAGTCTCATGTATAAAATGTCTTGTATAAATAAAATTGCCAGAAGGAGAAAAGAAAGGAATAGGGAAGAAGTGTTCAGTGAATCAATTCCACTTCCTGTCAGTTATGATCATAATGAATTACAGTAATCCAGCCTAGAAGTAATAAATGCATGAACTAGTTTTTCAGCATCACTCTAAAACAGAATATTTCTAAATTTAGTGATGCTGTGCAAATGGAAGAAAACAGTCCTACATATTTGTTTAATATGTGCATTGAAACATATCCGTCTCTTGATGGCAACAGTTATAAAAAAGTATGTAAGGACTGGAAAAAGTTACATCACAACTAAAACTTCCAGACGTGAAAGAAAACGATGAAGTTCTTGAGTTCTTTACCTATAATACCTTTAGGTACAATAAAGAGATGGTTACAGCTCCAACTATAAGCTTTAATAAAAATCAACGTGATTTAAGTGATGAACTGAGCCCAACATCAAATTATTATTAATCTATTATGAAAACAAGACCCACTGCTAGAGAAGATAAACTAAGCATTTGCAACCCAAATTGTGAGAAAGCAAAAAACAACAATAAAAAGCTTTGACAAGATTTATTTTGCTCTATAAATAAGGCAGATACACATAATCACTGGATTTGGCTTTGAAATTAAAATGTAAAATTTAAAAAGTCATGAATAATTCACAGATACAAATAACTTCATGAGCTTTACATATATCATCAAAAAATTCTCTTTTAATTCTCTTTATACCAAAAACATTGACACAAAACCTGAAACCATAACCCACTTAGACTTCCAAAATACAAGGAAAAAAAACCCCCTCAACATTAACGCATGTACTGTAGTACATCTGTAAATGTCACTTCACAATGCTTTGTCAATACAAGATGTGTACCTGTGAGCAGAAAGAGCAGTCCAACTCTGGGCCTAATTAAAGGACTTTGGTTAAGATTAGAAACACAGTTAAAGAGCTTTTTTTTCTTTTTTCCCCCAGAAGGGTGCACATTCTTGGCAATAGGTTTATGAACCAGTCTGTACCTTAGCTTCACTGAAGTGTCCTTCTACATACAGTGTGGAGGTTAAAGTCGTTTTAAAGCACTGTCACATATCGTAATTAAAACTGTTAAGTGCATCGATAAATAAGCCACTCAGCTCTCCGTAAGCCCGATTATCGAATAGGACATGTCTAAAATGATATGCAAGGAGAGCTAGTGTTTATCATAAGAAAACCTTCATTAGTATTTGTGCAATAATTTGCATATCCCAGTCAAATGTTTGCCGGGAGAAAAGACGTTTCCATTCAAAAACAACTGAAGCCACAAACACCCGTACGCACATTCAGCAGACGTGTTACAGGGCTCTTACTTCTCAGACATACACTTATAGTCTCTATCATTTTAAATTCTATGTAGCATTTCTAACATTGCACTTATTTGTTGCGTACTTGTCATAAGCATTAAATTTACGCTGTGAACGACAGTTCCTACATGACGCATGTTTGCTCTTGAGCATTTCTTCCATGTTAACACGGATAATGGCATCAGCGGCATTAATAAAAAAAAACAAGGAAAAAGAAAAAAAAGAACAGGGTTTGGCAAGTGAACGGGGTGTTCAAGATCTGGTCACAGCACAAATCAATACTGTAAGTTAACACCTGATTAAAAGTCGCTGACACAAAGCCACTTAAAGGTTTAATCTTTTTCGGTAAATAAACATCAAGTATCTGATTTATTTCGCCTGTTTCTCTAGAAAAATCTACATACATCACGCTGTGAGCACCACTTGCTCAGTCTCTAAACTAAAAAGGCCTACCATGCGCCGTCTCACTGTCTCATCACGTGCAGGCTGTAAGGTATGTGGTGAATGCTTTCACATTGACATGTTCATAGCACATTATATACTTATATGTTCTCCTCTTATTAGCTTAACCCCCTCCCGGTTTTGAGCCAAACGTGACTCCCTTCATATGTCCATCCTTAAACTCTAAAAGACAAATCAATCTACCCTCTGATAAATACCACTTAAGGGAGCAGCAAGCAACAGTTTGTTTGTCATTAGTGTTTATTTGGTCGACTCTACCTTGTTCTTGTAGAATTCATAGTCTATTCTATGGGAATGTGTTCGTGTTACAGTAGCGTCAGACCTATCGACTTTGGCTCCGGTTTCCATTCTAAGACCCTGTAATAGTTAGGAAATACTGTAAACAATCATCATGGCTGGCTGGTGCTCTCCCTCTCTGGCTGGGAAGGCTCTGGGTCCACTGGGGGGCCAACTAAAGGGCCACCAGCTGTGCGTGGGTCCATGGCAGAATGCATGATCGGCAGCCACACGTCATCCATGTTTGGCATTACAAGGATTTTCTAAAAGATGGAGAGATAATGGACAGGCAGTATTTAATATGCTTGATTCAGCGTGAAACCTAAAGTGAAGTGGTTAATTTGCCCAGTTTATTAATAAAATGCACTCATGTTCCTGGTGCATTAATTGACTAGACTGAAAATGGGTGGAAAATTTGAATAATTTCTAGGGATTTCTGTGTGTCTTGGGTCTGAGTGAAACATCTCCATTGGTAGGTGTTCAGGAAGCATCCTAGTCAGATGCTTGAACCCACTCAACTGAATCCCTTTGATGTGAAGTAGCAGCAGCTCCCTAACTAACATGCCAGATGAGTAAAAACTGCCAAAAAGGTAATTAAGGAGCTGAAATGTTGACTGTGTAACAATCTACAGCTAATGATGTTAACACTTGTTTTTAACCTCCACTCCATTACAAAAGTGCATGCACCCAAAAATGTGTCTCAAGTGCATCAAATCCTCTAAACACCATCTGCTGTTGTCATAATTGTGCGCATGGTTGAGGACTACAACTGCTGGCATCACTGCCTTGCTCTACACTTTACCCTACATACTAATATGCATACATAAATCCATACATAGACGAAGACCATAAGCACATCAGCAAAGTGTGTCTTTTTAGCTCTACCTTCTGTACGGAAGCATAAATAAATGTTGCTGTGCTCCGAAGTATGACTGTGTCAGTGACTTACAAAAATTAAAGAGAAATGTTGTGTTTACGATACCTCGAATTCCTGCTTCAGTTTTTTCTCTATCCAGTCTGTGACATGAGCCAGAGTGACTTCTCTTTCTCCCAGTTTAGGTCGTGCCTTCAGTTCCAGGTGAGGTGGTGTCCTGAAGCCATACCTGCACCAGAAAACAATCAACACCCTCACCATCACGGCTAACGACTGACATATGGCCACCACTAGAGGGCAGTAAGAGACTGTATAAAGAAATACACATTTATTTAGCTGAGTAATTCCACCAGTTCTGGGTATCCTCACAGTTTACTTAATAAACAAAGGTAGTTGGATTTAAGTTTAGGGTAAAGGTATCTGGAGTCTAAAAAACTGTTTACAACAAACGTGTTGTTGTCATTCTGGTAAACCTGCACCATCACTCTGTGCATTCCACAGGTTACACAGCAGGACAAGACTTTCTTCACATACCATATCCTGTCAGTAGGAGGAGGGGGAATGTTGACTGCCAGTGTTCCTTGGAGCTCCTGCACCTCCACCGTGAGCAGCAGCGGTGTGTTGGACACTTCTTCCATTTTCTTTTTGATGAACTCCGTCTCTGTGGCCTTCTGGAAGTATTTGGACTTTGTGATCTTGTCCACAAAGCGCATGATCTTGCTCGATTTATGTCCTCCAACAAAGCTGTATTTATTAAAAGGAAGATTTGGGTTAAACAATGCAAACTTTCCTGTAATCCAATAATTCTATTTTTTCATTTTGATTTCTTCTATTATTTAGTTTTATTAGTGAAATAAATACAGATGTGACAGGTGAAATTATTTTAGAATTAGTGATCAGAAATGAATTACACATACATTTTTTTTAGACAGTCCCAGTTCCAATTAAATTTAACCAGTACTTTTGTAACCTGAAGTAATCATAACACTCATTTCCTTTTTATATTTACAGTCCTTTGATTACAAAAAGCACGCCCCTTTACACTCACCCCTCCGCTCCAGTCAAATCATTGGAAACATCTGAGGAGTCTTCCTCATCTGATGAACCTGCGCTGGATGACTCTTCATCACTGTCAGCCAAGCAGTAAGTTCGTGGCCTGTATCTAGAAACACATGAACAAATGAGGATTGTAATGTGCTGGCTTCTATGCATTTATTAACAAATGCAAACGGTTTTGCTTTGTGTTTTTTATCGTTTTTAATATGCCATCTATGATTACTCACATGCACACATGCTTATAACGCTGTTTTAATAAACAACTTAGTAAGTTACTAAAAAAGAAAAGAAAAACAAAGCTTCACGAGAATTATTTTCACAATTTTTCAGGTGGTGTACACCTTGTTTCCTCATGAGACCTTGAAAGAAAAAAAAAAAAAGCCCCCTTTCCCATTATTTTTGGGAATCCCCAAACATTCATATTGTAGACCAGAGGTTTTAATTTGCACCATTTACACCAAAAGGCAATGGAAGAATTGACAGGACACCTGTATCCGTATCTGTCATGTGACATGTTCTCAGTTCTTCTTTTGATTGTACTGTGAGACAGAGGAATTTTTGACAGCCGACTTTGGTTCAGGCCCAGTGGTCTAATCACTTTCAGACGTGATGTTTAGTTTCCAAATGCCTCTTTGGCATGCTTAGCAGAATGGCCAATGTCTCCTGACAGTTGCTGAAATCCCCGAGCTGACTGAAGCCAGAAGATAGAAAGATTATTATTTTTTCTCTTGTCTTTAGACGGTGGGTTATCTGTATGGTTAGCTGAAGTTTGCTCAACACAAGAAAAGTGATCCTTTGACAGGAGTGACTGGATGAGAAATGGATGGATGGCACAGATGACTGTCAATACATGACCTTATCCTTATTTAATGTCAGAAAATCAATTATTTCTGCTGTCAGATACTTTTTACTCTTTCAGAGCTTTCTAATAACTCTTGACAGTAGTACAGAGTGTCACAACATACCAGGACTTGAAAAAAGTGGAATCTGTGCCTCCTGATCTGTATTTACATTAACATACTAACATGTTACTGCTCTGTAGTGCAAAGACGTAATCTGAGGGATGAAAATGGAGAGAGATGAAGTAAAAGCTAATGAGATTATAGCTGGTATTAGGAAATGACGACTCCCAAACTAAAGAAACTGTAACTGGAAAATGAAAGCTGATGCTGATTAAAGCACTCACCGAGGGAAGAAATGCATCCGATTAACAACCCCATATAGGCAGAATCCAAAGTTAAAAGCAGGGAAAAAGAAGGGGGGGGGGGAGAGAGGTATAGGAGACAGAAAAGACAAAACACTGAGAGAAACAGGTGAGGTACCAGACAGTGTACTAGATACTAAAGACCACACGCGTTGTTTAAGTCCCAGGAGAAACCCCCCCCACAAAACTCTGCATTAAATCCAACAAAGGCTGTTCCAACAGGTGCACACAGTATTGTGGTGGAGATCGACTGTCTTACCCATCTTTGCCAAATTCGCCTGGGCGCAGGCTTTCTCCCTCCTTGCCCAGGCGAATGAGGTTCATCTTGGTTTCCAGGGTCATCAGGAAGGAGCCACTGTAGGTCATCTCTAGGTCAAACCACAGACCTGAGGGGGAAAAAAAAAAGAAAAGATTATTAGGTAGGTCGATATGAGGGGGAAAAAAAGTAAGATATGAAACTGCAAAATGTAAGATTTGCAGATCACTGTTATATTGTAAAAAATGGCTTCCCAATCTGAGTCTATTAGTGACAGTGGAAAGAAACATAATTACTAATTTTGAAGCTAAAACATTGAGAATTTTCCAGGTCACAGTCATCCTCACCACCTCTCGTCTCAGACTTACTCTCACTATTCTCATAAAGCTGTGCTGCTCTTTCTGTGGCACCTCTCATTCCCCTCCAAGCATCACTAAAGCAGGGAACCCAACTGATTTTATTTTCTTGATCTCTCTGCTTAGATGAGAAAGTCCCACTGAAGCACCCCGAGAAGGAAGGGAAAAACTGGAAGACATCCTTTAAACGTAGGCGGAACAGTTGGAGAGCACACAGCTTTTCCCTAAGCCTCTGTTTGATAACAGCAGGGAGATCTGGCTGCAAAAAACAGGGCTCTCCTTTCCCTCCTCTTTTCTTGTTACCTCTGTACTACCAAATTTGCTGTAATCTGACAGTAGAAACTT